CACAGCCGAAAATGTACTACAACTTCCCTCCGGCATGGAAGTCTGATGACTCGCAGGCCGGCCCCCACCGATCGCTCGGAGCCAAGTCCAGGCCCGCGGCCGCAAAATCAGAACTGGAGATCGCAGCGGCTCGACCAAGGCAAAGCTTGAGCAGCCGCCCCCGGTCGGCTCATTTCCTGGAGGGGCCTCGAGGACCAGAGCGCATGCCATATTCGGGGACCGCTGGACCTTAAAGGGGGCATTCGGGGACCTAGGAAGCAAGCGCCCGCGACCGGCCTCAGGGGACAGCTCAGAGGGGGGCCCCGACGCGGCGTCAGCCTGAAACTCAACGCACCCTTTTGCCTCCCAGCGTCGCGGCGAGAGGCGGCCAGCAGGCAGCATTGACAGTCGGAGCTAGTCCCGATGCTCCACGCCAACGTTCTGGGGCTTCAACCGCGGCCAGACCCGGGCATGGCCAGGCAGGGCGTGAATCGCAGGTCGCGCCAGAGTCGCTTCACTGAAGATTTCCAACGGAAGCGCCCGGGGCCCATGATACTCAGCAAGATGGGATCGGGGACTTCAAAGCCTTCGGGGCACCCCCTAGGTCGTCTGCGCAGACACGATTGACGCCGAGGCCCTCGGCTCCAAACCAGCGGCGCAGGTCGCGCAGAGCAGGAGCCAGAGCTGCAGCAGAAAAGTAAACCCGACGGAGCACCTCCCTGAGGAAGCCCAGACCGAACCCAGGAAGCACGCGTGGGAAGTCCCCGAACCGAAATCACCCCTTCCACCGGCTCCTACAAGGCGCGCTAAAGCCCGAGAGGCGGCGCTGCCGGGCTGGCCATCTTCGCCAGCGCGAGGGGCGCGAACTCCTGCGATGAACTCGGGAACGCGTGCCCATGGCCGAGGGCGCGAAGAAGAGGACAGTCGTCGGGCAGAGCGCGCGCGGGAAACCAAGCAAGCCGCCAGGACATTCACGCCGAGAGTTCGGCCTCGCACGAAGCCACGCGACCCCCGGGAGCAAACAGATCCAGAGGGCGTCGAATCGATATGTTAACCGCAGCAATCGAGAGCTCCACGCACGCATTTCGGATCCCCAGGAAACGAACCGCACCGGCCCCCCGTTCACATTCGCCGCCAGCCTCGTTGGAGTTCAGCTCGCCCGCGGGCAAGAACGCCTGGAGCGCGACTCTCGGACAGGAAAAAAGCCAGCGCCAGCAAGCCTCCACAAGAGGCCGCCGCGCAATAAAATCAAGCCCGACGGGCGCGCAAGACGCGCCGCATAGCGTGGGCGATCGCGCCCCGGAGCAGTCGCTGACGCGAGTCGCAACTGCCCCGAGCATCGCGCAGGCGGGGAGCCGGCAGCTATCGAAGCCCACAGGGTCCACGAAGCAGTCGACATAAGCAGCAGCAGCAGCAGCAGCAGCAGCAGCAGGCCACGGCGCACGAGCGAAGATAGGACCCCCAGTCGAAGTGAGAGCGCAAGCACGATCGGCAGCGCCCTCCACCCCTTGGCCACCCACCACCACCGCTCCAAGAACCAACCTCCTCGAAAACGGAAACCAGGGCCGGCGCGCCGATCCGTCGCCTGCAACCGCCGACGACTGCGAGGGCGCGACCCCGCACCCCGCGCTCGTTCGAGGCGCGCCCGCAGCGAACCTCGATCGAGGCCAGCCACCCGCAGCCGCACTTTGCAGGTCCAGCGCTGGAAAGAGGCCCAGAGGAGCAGGCACGCGCGGCGACCGCGAATCTCGACGCAGCCTGGCGCCATCTCGCGCAAAGCCTAGGGGAACGAAAAATGGCATAAACATAAAAACTCTGAGGTCCGCGCGGATTTCTCGGATCGGCGCTGGGGCCCCCCGGTGGTGCCTCCGGCGCCGCCCCCAGCGCCGCCCCCAGCGCCGCCCCCAGCGCCGCCCCTGGCGCGCTCCGCGCGCCAGGGAGGGGGGCCCAGCGCCGATCCAAGAAATCCGCGCGGACCCCCGAGTTTTTATGTTTCCGTCACTTTTCGTTCCCCGAGGGCCAGCGGAAGCTCAGCGCGACGACAGTCCCGGCGCCAGACAGCGCAAGCTGGCGCACGAGCAAGATGCGACGGCACACGGGGGCCCCCAAGGGTGCTCGCGCGCTACGACGCCACGGCAGACGCACGGCTCGCTTCTTGCACCCGCACTTCACATCGCTCCAGACGACGAGGGGGCACGTGTTCACGGGCGTTTCTTCATGCGTCACATGCTGGCCCAGGGCCGTCCTGCGCAGGGGCGAGCGGGCAACGCGCTCGGGGGCGGGGAGCCTGCTCGCGCCCGGGATCTCGCTGGGGGGGGACGAGACCGCGAGGGCAGCATGATCGCTTACCTGAACGTTCGAGAGCCTCTCCGGGCCACCCGCGATACGCGCGCGCAGACATATCTGCGCCACCACCCAACCAGGCCAAGAGCACCAGACGCGGCCAACGGCAGCCACCGCGCCAGCCCGTCTGTCGGAATGGGTCGCAGCGGCAGGCGATATCTCAAGAAAGCCATCTAGCGTGGCGTTCCACCTCGGGACCTGCGCGCGCCGGGGGCGAGGGATTCTACGGGCCACCCGCGGCCGCGAGATGCTCGGCCTCTCCTCCGAGGCAAAATGAAGATCGCCAGTGGCAACAACTGAATAGCCCTCAGGATTAGCTTCAGACTTGGCTGGGCCCCCGGCGATCTCGGCGCGCGCGCCCCGCGCTCGCCGCGCAGCTCAACATGGTTGCGAATATGCAGACGCACAAGCGCTGCAAGTTACACTCCAGAGCTCGACTCGCAAGACGCACCCAGGAGGGGGCGCGAGGAGCGGGAGGGGGCCGCAGGAGGGGGAGCCAGGAAAGTGCCCTCGCAGAGCTGGGCGCCTGGCCAGACAGCGGCAACCCCCCCTCGGGCGCGGCCTTCGCGGCCCTCGCCACAGAAGCTCGAAAAAAAAGCGTCGGGCAAGGCTCTGCGCGACATGCGCGCGGAGCTGCTCCCCGCTGTGACGCGCTGCCTGCAGCGCGGCAACGGGGGACCCAAGGCGAAGCCTGCAGAGGCAACCCAGCTTCTGCGGCGCACGAGCCCGCTCACACTGCAGGAGCGCCCTCGCGTTCAAAGTCGCGAAAATTTGAGCGGGGGCCGACCGCCCCGGCATTCCTATAAGACTACCGCGAAATATTGTTGGAACCCAAAAATGTCCGAACAATGAAAACAATGGTCTCAGAACATAAACCCGATGTGTTAAGACAAGACAGCCCCAGCCAGAAATGTCACGGGAACATCTCGCAGAAACCACGAAAGGTTCTTAGAACATTGTTTGGTAGGCCCCTAGGCGAGCCAGGACGCTTCGCCACTGCTTGAACGTTGGGACCGCAGACGGAGCTCACGCCTTAGAGGAACTGCCGCGGCGAACGCGGGGGGAGGTGAGCACCGCGGCTAGAAGGCACCGCGGCGGCCCCCCCGTCGGGCGCGAAGATCGGGATCCCGCCCTGCCCCTCACCTCGTACCTGCCGAGGCCCCACTGGCGGATCGCCGCCGTGCTCCCACGTGAGTTCGGCCGCGCCCCGGCCAGACTCCGGCTCCATTTGCACGGGGCATCCCGCCCCCAGGATACACACTGTTCATTTCTATGTTCTTTTTCGCAAATTCCTCGATTTTCTGGGGGGCAAGATCCTTTCATTTCTAATTGTTCCATCCTGGGCCTCTTCCTGGCCACTAGGGGGATAGGAACAACTAGAAACGAGCACGACGTGTTATCGCATGATATGCGGAGGCGGACTTCACCGCTGCACCACGCAAGGGAGCTTGAAATTGGCGCCAAACTCCGCCAGCGCAACGAAGATTGCCAAGGGCCTTCCAGGCACAACGCGCCGCGAGGCCAGCAGCGCCAATGAACCTGAGGACGAAGTGCTTGGCGAGGGGGTCGCTGGACGACACCTTGCACCGGTCCCCCCCAGTCGAGAGCTCATCCATCCGCGTCTTAACCACAGCGGTAACTTCGGGGCGGACGGCGAGTTGCCCAGCACTGATGCGCATGATCGTGCCGTCCGTGTCGCGGTCAAAACTGGTACGCGTTGAGTTGAAGGGGCTTGGTGGACTGCTTGTTCGCGATGACCAGGGCCTGCTCCAATTCCTTGATCTGATCAGCCATCTGGCGCAGCAACTCATCATGGGCACCGACACGTCCCGTATGGGTTTTGATCCGCGCGTCAATACCATCGATCCTTTCCAATAGCTCACGACGCACTGCATCCATCTCCAGAGCGACAGCTGAAATCATTTGCTCGTCAAGCCTGCTGGGGAAGCTCTGGAGATCCGCTTGGCACTTGGCAAGGCACTGGTTGAAGTTCTGAGTGAAACAGGGCGTGACGGGACTGCGACTCTCTCTTGACCGTCTCCGTGGTCGAGGTGGCGACGACCGAATCCAACTGCCTCTGGAGACCCATGAGCTCGTCTTTGAGAATGCCTGAGCAGATGGATCGGATATGTTCTTCGAGCCTGTCCATCTTTTCATCTGAGTCACCAGCATCAAGCCGTACTTGCTGCAAAAGTCTAGTTGGTGTGGACCCTGAAGCCGAGGAGTCGCCAGCACTTGCACTACTACCAGCACCACGAGGACGACGCTTGCCATCTGATCTCTTGCAATTGGGCTTGATCACCTTTGACGGAGCAGCCTTCTGTGCCATGCCCTCACAGGACATGGAGCAGGGACGAGCGAGCGCGGGCCCAGGTACCATAGGAGAGGCCGACAATCACTGCCTGGCAGAACTGCCTTGCCTGCCGCGGCCTGGAGCCAAAATGGTTACGGAGGAGGAGGAGGAGGAGGAGGAGGAGGAGGAGGAGGAGGAGGAGGAGGAGGAGGAGGAGGGGGAGGAGGAGGAGGAGGAGGAGGAGGAGGACAGCAGATGGAGGAGGAGAGGAGGAGGAGGAGGAGGAGGAGGAGGAGGGGGGGAGGAGGAGGAGGGGGGGGGGAGGAGGAGGAGGAGGACGCGGAGGAGGAGGCGGCGGAGGAGAAAGGGGCGGTGCCCCGTCGTCCTGGCGCCCCACCGGCCGGCCCACGGCGGAAGCGCTGCGGCTGCGCGCGCCCGCGGTCAACGGCCGCGGGCTCACGGCCGCGCGCTGGGCCCCGGGGCGGCCCCGGTCGCCTGCTGGGGCGGGGGGCCGAAGTCCAGCAGAGCAGCGTTCAGGTCCAGCCCTGCGCCAAAGGCCCTTGCATCCTGATCGTGTATCCTCTTGATGCGGGCCGACTGCAGACTCTTTACGTCTGAGAGGCCTCCCCCCCGCTTCCTCCTCTGCGGCCACCCTCCTCTCCCGCATCCTTGGAGTCCCGAAACGGTGCGGTGACACACCGTGCGGTGACCTCGAAATCCCCCAAGATACCTCACCGCACGGTCCGTCACCGCACGGTCTTGGGACCGTGGAGGCCCCCGTCGCCCGAGAGGTCCTCGGAGAACGACCCGAGTCCCAAAACCGTGCGGTGACCCCGAATCCCCACCGACTCACCGCACGGTGTGGTCACCGCCCCCGTTTGGGGGCCCCCCAGCATCACTCGAACGTCGCAGACCATGCTCTGGCCAATTTGATCCATACCCTGTGGTTGTCGGGCTTCGTCGCCTTGCGCGGGACAGGTACGAATTCTTCCACGGGGGGTGGGGTCGGCCGGGAGAACTCCTCTGCGCGAGCTGCCAGCACAAGACCCCCGCCTCTTCCCAGATCTCCGACGATCGCTTTGTTCAATCCGAGCGCTTTTCCTCGGTTTCGGCCCCTGGGGACCGCTATCGGGCCCCGGCTCCATCAAAAACGGATCCAGGGCAAAAAAAATGCCCCGGGGAAGCGATCGGGACCTCCGATGGCCACGGATTGAAAAACAGATCGGCGGATGTCAGGTCCCTCACCCTTTCTCATTGCGAACAGGATCGATCCACGAACCTGGATGGGGAGATGCATATATAATATACATGTACTTACATATGTATATATATATATAGAGAGAGAGAGAGAGAGAGAGAGAGAGAGAGAGCTGCCCTGGTCTGGGCAACGGGCAGTGCCAATGCTGAGGATATCCGTAGTGATGATACCTTGCCAAGGGCTGTACTGCGCTGCGCTGTGCCATGCTGTGCCGTGCTGTGCCGGGGGCTGGCTGGGGAAACTCCAACACGTGCCAGCACCCAGACGTCGGGCGGATTTGAGATTCTCATCTCGGCGCTCTATCCCGATGCTCGGCCTCTGGGGCGGTCGAACATGGAGCCGGGACGACAAATTGTCCCTGGCTTTGAACGCCCGAAATGGGCACGGAAAGAATGGGTACAATGCCCAACAACAAATGTTGTCCCAAACCAACGGCGGCCGCTGTTGGGCAGGAGGCCTCCTGTCTCAAATGGACACAGGCCACGGCGGCGCGGACAGCGAGTCCTGTTCAAAATGGACAGGAACTGCTGTTGGGCATTGTACCCGTTCTTTCCGTACCCATTTCGTTCGTGCAGAAGGGCTGAGGCCTGCGGGGCCTGCCGGGGGCTGGCCACCAAAAAACTCGTCGTGCGAGCACACAGGCCTCCACTTGTTGCTCACTGCGGATGGGCAGCGACGGATGGCTCCGCGCAACTTTCGGCCTCCAGGGGCCCTGACCGGGCCCCGGGGCCGTCACATAACGGCTCACGAGGAACAGCTGGTCCCACGGATGGGCTCCAGAACTCTGGGGGTCCACGCAGAGAAAAACACGACATCGGAGGTTCCAGTCAGACGAAATCGCTGAGGATGAATTCGGATGAGGGTTAATCGAAATTCTCTGAGAGCCGGCGGGACTGGAAGACGTATCGGGCGTCGCGGCCGTCCCATAGCGCCCAAGAACGCTCGGAGAGCGTTCCGGAATGCTCCAGGGCATTTCCCACAGACCGAGGCTGTGGTGGCGCGCACGAGGGGAAGTGAGGGGGGAGGGGGAAGGCCCCTCAGGAGGGGGCCGAGTCTCAGCAGGCGCTGGCCCTGCATCTATTAGGGGAACGAAGAATGACATAAACATAAAAGCTCGGAGGTCCGCGCGGATTTCTCGGATCCGCGCTGGGGTCCCCTGGCGGCGCCTCCGGCGCAGCCCCTGGCGCGCTCCGCGCGCCAGGGAGGGGGGTCCAGCGCGGATCCGAGAAATCTGCGCGGACCTCCGAGTGTTCATGTCTATGCCACTTTCTGTTCCCCTGTGAGCAGCAGGGTGCCCCCCCTCCGCGCGTGACCGACAAACCTCCGACGGCACGACCGCTGCCGTGTCCCCTCGACCTGCCTCGGCCTCGGCCTGGCGGGGCCGGCCTCGGTCCCCATGGGGCCCTCGGCAACGGCCCCGGGGGCGCAGGGCTGCCCCCGCGGCAGCGGTCGGGGCCGCGGCGGCGCGAGCGCAGAGGAGCACAACACGGCACGAACCTCAGCTGTGAAGGGTCCTCCTCGCGGCCAGGCTCGCGAGGCTGTCTGCGGCCGCCAGCCGAGCAGAGCGGCGAAGGCGAAGCGGCGCGTGGCGTTCGGGGAGGCGCGGCGGCCGCGGGGCAGAGCGAGGTGCCGAACGCCCGGGGGGCCTGCTCGACGACTCGGTCTGGGCCAGTGCGCCCCTTGAGCCACAGTAGCCCAGGAAAGGCACTCGTGAGGTGCCTGCGGGCAGCTTGGGAAAGGCACTTTGGAGGTGCCTGCGTGCGGCCCAGGAAAGGCAAGGGCAGCCCAGGAAAGGCACCTGGAAGGTGCCTGCGGGCAGCCCAGGAAAGGCACTCGGGAGCTGCCTGCGGGCAGCTTAGGAAAGGGGCCACGAAGAGCATGGCCACAGAAAGCCCGCGCGGCGCGCTGGGCACCCCTCCCTGGCGCGCGGAGCGCACCGGGGGGGCGGCGCGCCGGAGGCGCCGCCAGGGGGGCCCAGCGGGGATCCAAGAAATCCTCGCGGAGCTCCAGAAGATCATTTTGTGCCGCCTCGGGTTCCTGGAGGACTGACCAGAGTCGTGCCGCCAGATGCCTAAGCAGACCGGACCCGACCCACCAGGCGCCAGGGTGGGTTCGGCCAGGGCCTCCCAAGGGGGGCCTGGGCACGCGGGATCGAAGCATCGCGCCGCATCGCCGAGGCATAGGCGACGGATCCGCGACGGCGGCATGGAGAAGATCGGGCTCCAGATCGTGCCGAACCGCCGATACATCGGCGATGCGGGGTCATTCTCCGACCCCCACGCTGCTCTGGCCCCACGCGCAGGAACACTCAGCATCGAATCGGCGAATCGGATAGAATCGAAATGTGCATCGGACCGGATCGGGCTGCATCGGCGCGGAATCGAAATCGAATCGGATCGGCTGTGCCAGGATGCGCAACGACGCCATGCAAACAACTGACAGCATCGGATGGTCGCAATATTCGGGTGTTGCTAGAAGTGCCCCTGGCCCAAGGTGCCCCAGCTTTTCGCTCTGTTTTGGAGCCCCTGGGGCCCTATGGGCCTCGTGAGGGGTGCCCTGGAGGCCGTCTGGGCCACCCCGAGAATCCTGGGAGTGCCTTGGGCCAGGGGTACTTCTAGCAACACCCGAAAAATCGGAGTCGAATCGGATATCAAGCCGGCCAAAATCGACATCGAATCGGATCGACCCGGTCATAATCGGATCCCGGCACGGGAGGCCTGGCTTCGGTCGGGCCCGTTCCGTCGGGCGACACCATGGACCGCGAGCCGCCAGGACGACGACGACGACCACCACCACCACCACCACGACGGCGCCGACGCCGACGACGCCGACGACGCCGACGACGCCGACGACGACGACAACGACGACGAGCGACGAGCGGCGGTGACGAGCGACGAGCGACGGTGACCGCGTGCCGGCGACGACGACTCGACGAGATCTTTGCTCCCGGGGTCCGCTACAGGCCCCCCTGGGGCTGTCAGGAGCGGCGCTGGAATGGAAGCCTTGGCCAGGATGGGCCGGGAGGAAGGGTCTTGGCACTCATGTTGTGCGGATGTAGTCGGAGGAGGAGGAGGCGGAGGAGGAGGAGGGGGAGGAGGAGGAAGAAGAGGAAGAGGAGGAGGAGGAGGAGGAAGAGGAGGAGGACCAGAGTGAACCCCCAAGATGCACCAACAATGCTGCAATACCCCCCTCCCGTTGCAAGTCCCCTCCCCACGGATCCCTACAGGCCTTCCCTCTCACTAGAAGAAGCGCCTCCCATGAAAGACCAGCACCCTGTGTGCCTGCCAATCCGACAAGAGCCTCGTTTTGAAGAGGAACTAACTGCCTTGCATCCCTGCAGCCAGGAAAGCAGGAAGCGAAAAAACATGACCGCACACATCGAATAGGTATTAATCGGGCGTTTCGATATGCTGCGCAAGTTTACACTCTTACGCTATTCGCCGCCCCCCGCCTGTGTAAATGTTGCAAAGGTTTAGACTTCTGGTCATGCACTTCAAGGGAGTCTCGAGCGAGGGCCCCACTTTGAGAAGACCCGCTCTGCAACCGCGCAGCTGCTACTAGCAATTATTGCACCAGGGGCTTTGTAGTTCCGATATTTAAAAAAATGGTCGGTTTGCCAAATCTTCGCCTGGTTGGCTGCCGTGGGCGCCTCGTGGGCGCCCCGTGCGCTGGGTGGTTTTGCTGAAGTTTCGCCTGGTTGGCTGCCGAGGGCGCCTCGTGGGGCCCCGTGCGCTTGGTGGGTTTGCCGAGGTTTCGCCTGGTGGGCAGCCGTGAGCGCCGCGTGGGCGCCCCGTGCGCTTGGTGGGTTTGCCATGGGTTCGCCTGGTTGGCTGCAGTGGGCACCTCGTGGGCGCACAGTGGGCTGGGTGGGCTTGCCGAGGCTTCGCCCCAATGGCCGCCGGGTGTGCCACGTGGGCGCTGTGTGCACTCGATGGCCGTCCAGCTTGCACGTGCACCACACAGCTTGCATCGTAAAACTGCCACCGCATATCTTACACCACATACTTCGCACCACATAACTTACACCACCCCTTCTTCGCCATAAAAATATGATTCCACACATCTTGCACAACCTAGCTTGCACAACCTAGCTTGCACCGCGTAGCTTGCAACGCAGTGAACGCCTCATGCATTGCACAGCAAAGTTTACACCACATGGCGTACACATAAAAATCCGTTGGCCAACGTGGACCCCAGACAGCGCGTTGATATCTATATATATATATATATGTATGTGTATAGATATGCTGTGACAGTTATGTAATGCAACATATGTTGTTCAAGCTACGTGTTGCAACCCATGCGGTAAAACTTATATCGTGTCATATACGTTGTGCATTGCACGTGGTGCAATATATACTTTGCAATTCACGCGGTGCCATCGATGCTGCTCAATGTACGTTGTGCAAGCTGTCTTGTATATTCAAGATGATGTCATCTATGTGGTGAAACCTATGCTGTGCAATCTAGCCAGATACGTGCTGCAACCTACGTGGTGCAACATCTGGTGTGCACTCTATGCGGCGCAACAAATGTAGTGCAACCCACGTTGCGCAATATATGCGGTCATGTATGTACATGTGTATATACTTATATACACATGTTGCAAGCTATGTGGTGCAGCCTGAGTGATACAGCATATGCGGTGCAGCCGGTGTGGTGCACCATTTGCGTTACAATCTACGTGGTGCAACTCAACCTGCCGAACTTGAAAATGTCGACTCCAATGCTCGCGCAATCACCCCACCCACCCACCCGCAATTTGGTTCGCAAACCCAACGGTGGCGATTGCGATGACTGCTTGGCGCGCATCGCTGCGGCCGCGCTAGCGCGCGCAGGCTCGCGCGCAGAGTGGCCAGCCAGTCTGGCGCGACCGACGCAGCCGCGGTGGCGCTGACCGCTGGGGATCCCCCGGCGCGTCTCGCAAGCCGCGCTGACGCGCGGGCATTTCGATGCGAGTCGGTGACTCGGACGGGCGTGGTATCATGGCGACGTCGGCAACGACAGGCACGAAGATGATAGCAGCGATGATGGCTACGATGATGCGCCGATGCTGATCACGCCGATGACGATGATGGCGTCCACGTGTCGGAGCGTGTGTCGGTGATGAGGGTTTTGGGAGGGTTTCGACATGCGCGCGCGGTCGACGCGCGCGAGTGGCCTGCATGGTATTATTTGACAGAGAGCGGGCTCCCCCAGCAGGCGCACAAAGTTGTTCGAATGCTCTCGACATGCGCGCGCGAGAGGCCCGCTTGGTCGCATCTGGTGAAACAGCGGTTGCCTTAAGAAGCCGCAAGAGCGTGCACCCAGACATTTGTTGAAAAAACACATTGCAAAACCAGAAGTATTTATCCGCCCCCCTGTGCCTGGGCGGAGTGCAGTGGGCGCGTTAGAATGCTCCTGTGGTCCGTGCGGAATGTGACTTAATGCTATCCGAGGCCGGCCCGCCCCCTGCATCGAACGCGGGGTCGTCCCCCTGGAATTGCTCCCCGGCGCTCTTTTTGCCTTCAGACGGCCAAGATTGCCTCGAAGACGGCTTCCACGACAGCCAAGGCGACAACAGAACGGCTCAAGACGGCCCGAGACAGCTCAAGATCCTCTCAAGAGAGCCTCAAGACGGCTCAAGATAGCCCAAGAGGGCCGCAAGACAAACCACGAGGCCCCCAAAACGGCCCGAGAGAGCTCCAAGAGGCCCTCCTGGAGAGCCCCGGGAAGCCGAAAACATTGATGTTCTTCAGGTGTTTGAAGGATTGTGAGGTTCTCGCCTGTTCAGGTTTCCGACGAAGACGGCCCGAGAGACTAGAGGCCTCCAAGATAGCTCCAAGACAGCCGAAGATGCTCCCAAGTGGGCCCCAAGCCGGCTCAAGAGGACCAAAGATCGCCCAAGGGGTTCCAAAAGAGGGTCCCAAGACGGCCTGGAAGCGCCCCAGGAGAGTCACAAGACGGCCCAGAGAGGCCGCTTGGGCTGTCTTGGGCGGACCCAAACATGCCAGAACCTCGAAATCCTTCATGGGTCAAATCTGCCTTGAGGCCTCCTTGGGAGCCTCATGACCTCCAGGACAGCTTTCAAAGCAGCCAAGATGACGCCACGGTGGCCCGAGATGGCCCAAGACGACTCAAGAGGCTCCCAAGACAGCCTCAAGACATACAGTGGGGGCGCGCATCAAGAAACCATCTGCTTTTCGTCAGGGTACCATGGGTTTCTTCGCTCCGCGAGCGGCGCGGCGACTTCCCGCGGCCGTTGAAGGAGCTGCTGCGTTCAGAGTGCTCCTGGTTTCCCCTCTGGTGCACTTCGCGCGCGGGTTTTCAGGATTGGATTTCTTGCGAGGGTTTCTTGCGGCCGCACCCACACTGTATCAAGAAGCCCCAGAGACGGCCACAAAGGTCTCCAAGAAGCCCTCACGGAGAGCCCGAAGAAACCAAAACCACCGATTTGCCGCAGGTTTGAGGGCCGCTGCTGAGGCTCTCGCCTGCTCGGGCGCCCGACCCCGCAGGACAGCCCAAGAGGCTCCCAAGAGGCCCCCAAGAAGGCCCCCAGGAAGGCCCCAAGAGGACCCAAAGATCGCCCAAGGGGCTCCCAAAAGGGCGGCCCCAGGACGGCCGCGAGCCGCTCCAAAAGGGCACCAGCGCGGCCTGGAGAGGCCCCCAAGGCGGCCGCCAGAGGCGTCAGAGGGGCAAGACCCCCCAGGAGCCCCAAGAGGCCCCCATGAGGCCCCAAGAAGCCTCCAAGAGGCCCCCAGAAGCTTCAAGGAAGCTCCCAAGAGGCCCCTGGGAAGGCCCCAAGAATCATGTTCCTTCTCATGCGCAGTTTGTCCCTCTCCTGTTCCTCCTCCTCCTCCTCCTCCTCCTCCTCCTCCTGCCTCCTCCTTCTCCTCCTCGTTTGCCTCTTCGTTTTCCTCCTCCTCCTCTTCCTCCTCCTCCTCCTCCTCCTCCTCCTCCTCCTCCTCCTCCTCCTCCTCCTCCTCTTCCTCATCCTCTTCCTTAAGTCTGCCGCGCGGACGAAGACGTGATCGAGATCACGACCCGCCCCAATGCAGACTACTCGTCGGAGTTGCATTGTTCCTAACATCGGCCTCCGTCCTGCTGCACTATTGCACAGGAGCGGTGGCGGGGCGTGCCGCAAGCAGCTGGATACGTGGTCGGGAAATCCAATCTTGAATTCCGAGCGAAACCTCTGGTTGTTGATCAGTTTCGGCATGCGCGCGCGCGAAAACACGCGCGTGTGGACTTTGTCTTACCAGACAAACTCGACTGTACCCCAGGAGGCCTGGGCCCCCTGCGGGGAAACCGAAAAGTATCGATACCGCTCCGCTACTCCGGACCTCTGCCTGGGTGCGCTCTGTCCAGGACTTCGAGGCGAATCCAGCAGTGGCGACGAGGGCCCCTCACGAGGCCCCAAAAAGGCGACAACGTGCCAAGGATAGCGGCACCTATTTCTCCTCTGAACTCCCTGGACCTCTGCACGGGTGCGTTCTGACCAGGACTTCGAGGCGAATCCAGCAGTGGCGACGAGTGCCCCTTCACGAGGCCCCCAAAAGGCCGAAAACGGGGCAAGGATAGCGTTTGATCGGCACCTCTTCCTCTTCTGACCTCTGCGCTCGGCATACATCGCTGGCGGCGCGCACGGTGGGTTATAGGGGGGAGGGGAAAGGCGTCTTCGAAGGAGGCTGCTTCTTGGAAGGCGCCGGCCTCACAACGAAGGCCCACGCCTTCTAAGAAGCAGCCTCCTTCTGAGAAGCTTTCCCCCTTCCCCCATACACCCCTCTGCGCGTGGCCGAACATTTGGACACCCGAGATGGGTACGGAAAAAATGGGCACGATGCCTGACAACAGATGTTGTCCAAAACCGGCAGCGGCTGCTGTTGGGCAGGCTGCCTTCCGTCTCAAATGGACCAGGCCCGGGGCGGCACCGACCACGAATCCGGTTCAAAATGAACAGAGAATGCTTTTTGTTGTAATACTCAGTTTCAGTAACTGAGCAGGAACCGACCGTCCTGGCATTCCTATAGGCCTACAACAAAATATTCTTAGAACCCCAACATCTTCTAAGAACCAGACCAGGTCTTAGAACATGAAGCCGATGTGATAAAACAAGACAGCCCCAGCCAGAAGTGCTCTAAGAACATCTCGTGCAAACCACACAAGGTCCTGAGAACACTCTCTGGTGGGCCCATAGGCGAGCCAGGACGCCTCGCCACTGCCTGACGCACTGACGCATCCACGTCGCTTCGTCCCGAGAACACACCAGCCGCCCCGCCTCCGAACGAGGGCGCCGACCGCGCCGCCCAGCCGCCCTCCTCCAGCGCGGGCTCGCTGGCGGACCGCTGCCGCGCGCCAGCGGGCGCGCGCCGCCCGGGCGAGCCGTCGCTGCTGCCGTCGGTGAGGGCCTGCGTCCTTCGAAGGATCGGCGGCGCGCGAGGGGTGATCGCGCAATTGCACCGTCCCTGCTGCCGTCGGTGAGGGCTTGCGTCCTTCGAAGAATCGCCAGCGGCGAGCGAGGGGTGATTTCACAATTGTCCCGCCTGGCTCCAGGACGTGTCTTGCGACTTCTAGACTCGAGCCTCGGTGGCCACAATTCGTAAAACACGTTCACGCAATGATGCAGCTCGGCTCACACTGGAGCCGAGCAGCGCTGCCACGGCAGCTCGTGATGGCACATGATTTGCATGATAATCGGTTGTTGCTAGAAGTGCCCCTGGCCCAAGGTGCACGCAGGATTTCCAAGGGGGCCCCCAGGGCCTCCAGAGCACCCCATCACGAGGCCCAGAGGGCCCCAGGGGCTCCAGATTGGATCGAGAAGCTGGGGGGGCACCTAGGGGCACGGGGCTTCTCAGAAACCCTCCGGCCTGCTGAGAGGCTTCCTGCGTCTTCGGGGAAGGCCCAGGACACTTTTCCGAAGGACAAGGGACTTCCGAGCCATCTGAGGAGGCCCGCCCCCTCTTACCTTTAGGTCGGGCGTGCCCCCCTACAGGCGGGTTCTGGAAGATTAAACAGATCCCAAAACTGTTCAAAAATAGCCTAAAGATATTCCAAACATCGTCCCCAGACGATTCTCTCCTATCTTTGAACATGCCCCCTGCAGAGGGACAGGCCCGACTTCACCTTGCCTCGCCCTGGGCGCACCGCCGCTCGAAGACGGAGCAGCTGCACGCGGTCGAGACCTCCCGCTCGGCGCGTCGCGCGGCAGCGACACGCGGGCGACACGCCGGGGACACGCGGGCGGACAGCGTGCCGCTCCGCACCGCGGGGCGGGAGGAGCGGAACTGCTCGGGACACCGACGCCCGGGGGCTATGGGCACGGATGGACGACCTGCCAGACCACCCCAACCCAACCCAGAGACCCGAACTTTGCCCCGGATGTCGGGTTGCGGGGGGGGGTACGGGATCCACACGTGTGCTTCTGTCAGTGCTCCCCGACCCCCTCCCCCCTGGAAATGGGTGGCAAATCGGGGCCTTCGGGCTGGCTTGGGCGGTGGCGGATAGCGTGTCGCACCGAGGCGCGGTGGGCCAGAGCCAGCGGAGCGACACGCGAAGCCCGTGACCGCAGCCGCTCATGGGAGTCTTCGCGTTACGCTCGGGCGGCTGCTTTCGTGGCACCTTCGCTCCGCGTTCGCCCCGCGTCCGTTCCGCCTCCGTTCGAGCGCGCTCCGCGTACCCCATGGGCCCAGCGCCATCAGAGCACAAGGGCCGCAGGGGCACGGAAGCGACGCAGAAGCGGCACGGAAGGAGCACCCCGCCTCTGCAGGCACAGCGCACCACGAAGACGAAAACGTCAACGTTCGGACGTCCGCGCGGACGTTCTCGATCCACGTCTCGTCCTCGAGAACGACGACGACGACGACGACGTCTGCGGCTCTGGCGCCGCCCTGGGCGCAGTGCGCGCGCCAGGAAGGGGGTCCAGCGCCGACCCGAGAAATCAGCGCGGGCCTGCGAAAGTTCATGCTTATGCAGCGTAGGACGAAGCCAGGACACGAAGCCACGACGAGGATAATCGCGTGAGGATAGATCGAGCATCTCTGAGATCCAGCGTATCTGGAGAATGCGTCGGGTGTCGCGGCCTCCTCAGAGCGGCCTGGATCGCTCTGAGAGCGTTCAGGAACGCTCTGGAACGGATTTATCCTCATCCTGGCCCCATCCAAAAATGTTTCCTACATCGGGGATAGACTGACCCATGTAGATCCAAACCCGGGTCCGTCAGGCTCTGCAGGATCCTGCAAGATCCTGCAAGATCATGCAGGATCCTGCACCCACACCAGGGTCAGTGCACCCCTGGCCCTGCAAGATCCTGCAAGATCCGGCGCTCTGGCTGACCCCCGTCATGGATCGACCCCCGTCCCTTGAGCCCCGACTGCGTCGGGTCCTTCCGGGGCCTAGCTTCCGCACCCAGGCGCCGCCGCCTTGCGGGGCAGCTCGAAACAACTGGGCTGGGGGGAGAGAAGTCGGTTTTACTGCCTCAGGACCTGGTCACGGCCCAGAACACACAGGTACGAGGAATAGGAGGAGGAGGAGGAGGAGGAGGAGAAGGAGGAGGAGAAGGAGGCGGCGGAGGAAAAGGAAAAGCAGGAGGAGGAGGATAAATGAGGAGGGTGAGGAGGATGAGGAGGAGGAGGAGGAAGTGGAGGAGGAGGGGGAGGAAAAGGACGAGGACGAGGACGAGGAGGAGGAGAGACGAGGAGGAGGAGGAGGAGGAGGAGAAGGAAGGAGGAGGAGGAGGAGGGGGAGGAGGAAGGGAGGAGGAGGAGGAGGAGCAGGACAAGAAGGAGGAGGAAGCGGAGGAGGAGGAGGGCGAGGAGGAGGAGGAGGAAAGAGGAGAAGGAGGAGGAGGAGGAGGAGGGGGGAGAGGGAGGGTGAGGAGAGAGGAGACTGGGGGGGGACGCGTGAGGGTGGGGGGCGGAACACGGGGGCGGAAGGGGGACGGAGCGGGGAGGAAGGAGGGAGAAGGAGGGGAAGGAGAAGAGGGGAGAAACTCTGGGAGAAAGAAGGAAGAGGAAGGGGGGGAAAAGGAGGGAAGAAAGGCCAGCGAGGCAGGATGAGGGGGAGGGATGCCGACAATGACGAGCGGACGAAGCAGGTGGCGGGAGGAGGGAGCAGCAGGGGAACGGCGGAAAAGGATGGGAGGGGGGGGAGGCGATGCGCAGAGAAACGAGGAGAGATGGCGAGCAGAAGCGGGCAGGAGCCGAGGAGGAGGAGGAAGAAGAAGAGGAAACGGCACTGCATCGGCCTTCGGCGGGGCTCCTTATGGGGCCACGAAACGTGTGAGGGATGTGCCAAAATTGGTGTGGCGGCGCCATGCGAGCCCTGCCACTGGGGCTTTCGGTGGAGCTCCCTACGGGGCCACGAAAAGTGTGAAGGGTCTGCCGACATGGGTGCTGTGGCCCCTGGCGAACCCTGCCACTGGGCCCTTCGATGGAACCCCTTATGGGACCACGAAACCTGTGAAAGGTCTGCCGACAAGGGTGCGGTGGCGCCACGTGAGACCTGTCACTGGGGCCTTCGGGGGGCTCCCTACGGGGCCACGAAACGCGTGAGGGGTGCTCCGAAACGGGTGCGGTGGCGCCACGCGAACCCTGCCACGGGGGCCTGTTTGTGGAGTTCCCGATGGGGCCACGAAACGTGCGAAAGGGTCTGCCGAAACGGGCGCGGTGGCGCCATGCGAACCCTACCACGGGGGCCTTCGGTGGAGCTCCGCGTGGGGCCACAAAGCTTGCGATGCGTCTGCCGACAAGGGTGCTGTGGCGCCATGCGAACCCTGCCACGGGGGCCTTCGATGGAACTCCCTACGGGACCACGAAGCGTGTGAGGGGTATACCGAAACGGAGACCTGCTGAGGGCATAGGCAAGGAAGGGGGAAGGGTGGAGGAGGAGGAGGAGGAGGAGGAGTGTTGCTTTGCCCAAACGGGTACGACGTCCCAAACAGGTATAACGTGACGCCGAACAGGCGCGGGCGAGCATGCCCTGGCAAACATACCACGCATCATAGCTTCCCTCAGCAGGGCAACCGGCACACGTGCACAAAGAGGAAGCAGGCACAAGCTGAATCTGTCCTCTGGGAGGCCGAGCATTGGACCAGCGACCGCAACCCCGCAGGGTGAGGTCGCCCCCTGGCCCCTTCCCCCCAGCCAACAGGCGGGGCGGGAGGAGGCCCCACCAGGGGCGGGATTGGTCGAGTGCTGGGCCTACCCAGCAAGACAACACGGAGCGGTACCCAGCGCCAGAACCTCATCATACCACGGCAAGCAATATGCCCGCGGCTAGTCGCATTCCAACCAAGGTGGTTGGACGCTGTGAGCCGCGGGCACCCGCCTTCGCAACATCATCGGCGGTGCACCTCATACAGGAGGTGCCACACGGCGCCCAGGCTGCACCGCATGGCCGCGGTGGCAGGGACGTTAAAAATAGGAGGAGGAGCAGGAGGAGGGGGAGGAGGAGGAGGAGGGGGCAGCGGGAGGAAGGAGAACGCGGGGCGCCGTCTCTTCAAAACGAGGACCCAGCACCACAGGATGATTGGGAACTATAGCCATCATCATCATCAACATCACCACCACCACCATCATCAGCAGCAGCATCATCAGCATCATCAGTGCCATCATCATTATCACCATCATCATCGTCATCAGTATCATCATCCGCAGCAGCATCTCATAGGCATCATCATCATCATCAGCGTCAGTATCATCATCAGCAGCATTAGCATCATGATCATAAGCAGTATCAGCATCATCAGCATCATCATATAATCATCAGCCGCAGCAGAATCAGCATCAGCATCATCATCGTCATCATCAGCATCATCGGCATCATCATCAGCATCATCAGTATTACCATCATTAACATTATCACCATCATAATCGTCAGCAGCATCATCATCACAATCAGCATCATCCTAATCCCCCTCAAATATCCCCATCAACATAGTCATCGTCGTCATCATCATTATCCGTATCATCATCAGCACCATCGTCATCATCATTGTCATCATTAGCATCACCACCATCATCAGCATCATCATCATCATCATCATCATCCTCATCATCATCAGCATCATCATCAGCGTAATCAGCATCCATGGTATGGGGGCCCAGGGACACCGTTTGACCCTCAAAAGCCGACGCTCGACGCATAGGGAGCGAGCGTCGAGGGGGACCCTTTCGAGATCGAGCAACAGAGCACGGGCGACAGAACACTGGATGAAGAACGAGCTGCCCAAGACGTCCCCCAAGAGGCCCCCCAACAGAGCCCAAGAGGCTCAACACAGAGCCCCAAGAAGGGCTCCAGAGCGTCAGCGTCCTCGTCGTCGCCGCCGCCGCCGTCGCCCTTCAGGGTCGACGGCACTGGCCGTAAGGCCTTCGGTCTAAGGAATGAAGGGGCTTTCTGGCCACGTGCCTCGGAGAAGAGCAGGCTCCCTGACCCAGATCTCAGGAACGCCCATAAAGCCAGAGCCCCTCCTGAGCCGCAAGTGGCTCCTACGTCCGCATGTTGACTGTACTCCCCAGAACGATGGCACAACAATACTCACATGCTCTATGCTCCTCTTCGCCCCATGCGTCCATCAAGCAACGGCACCCCCTTTATTAGCGACTGGTATAAGTTGTGCTGTTCTTTCAAAAAACTGTGGCGTGTTATTCGAGCGGTGCCCGACAATCCCGAGATGGCCCGCCCAAGAGGGTCCTGCCAGTACCTCTTCCGAGTCACTTGTGTGGTTCCCACCTCGAACGGCACCTGAGGGTCGCAATCGCTCGTGTCCGCAAGAACACCCACCCGCATTAATGTCACGCGGGCCCGTCAGCCTGGCATGTAATTTCGTGTCCATGCCTTCCGGATGGATGCATTCTGAGCTCGCGCTGGGTAGGATGAGGAGGAGAAGGAAGAGGAGAAAGAGGAGGAGGAGGAGGAGGAGGAGGAGAAGGAGGAGTAGAAGGAGGATGGCATCTGTGGGTCGCAAGGGAGAGGCCTGGGAAATGGAGGAGGCCCCACAACCTCTGGGAGATGCCTCCAAGACTCCGTGGAGGCTTCAGGGCCTCCGGGAGAGGCTTCGAAACTTCCAGGAGAAACCTCAGGCCTCAGCCTCTGGAGGACGAGGCCTCCAGAGGGTCCCCGAACAGCCCCAGGAGATGCTCAAAGAGGGCCCCGAGAGTGGGCTGCCACAGTGCCCAGGACAACCCCAAGAGAGGCACATGAGGGACCCAAGAGGGGCTCATGAAAAGGCTCAAAGATAAGCTTCCCATCCTCCCTTCGCTGCCCCTCCCTTCCCCTACCCTTGTGAGAGGGAGGGGTCGACGAATCCAAGTGAGGTCGCATTCATCTGGCCTTGCCGGCGCACATCGTAGTAGAACTTGTTGTAGAAGCCGCTCGTGCGCAACACCACCTTCACTCGATCTGTCTGCGTGCTGATCTTGACCGACTGGTTGATCAGGTCGTCGAAGCTTGAGGTGTCACCGGGCTGCTTCCAAGTCCTGTACAGCTTCTTCATTGCCTCGGTGCCGGAGTCGGCGTCCTGCTCGATGTCTTGGATGTTCTTGCCCTGAAGCGACTGGTGGAAATCCTGCAGCTGGCGGAGCTTGTTGCCGTCCCCGGACGTGCAGCAGGTCCAGAACGAGGTGCATGAGCTCTCCGCCCACGTGCGAGTCGAGCTCGCCATCGCGGCGATCGAGTCCGCGTGCCCGAGGTCCCCGGCGATCAGACAGAACACGGCCTTCCCGGCACCGCTCATCTGCTGAGCCACGCGGAACCACCAGCGCCAGTCGGACACCTGAGGGCTCGACCTACACAGTATTTCCGTTGTCGTCTTGCTTTCGTTGTTCCTCGTTCTGTCTTCGCTCTGCATCTGCTGCAAAACGACATCAGAACGAAAACGGCCCTCGAAATCGCAAAAACACCGTTCGGGTCGAGCCGTGGGATACCTCGGCCTCGAACTCCTGACCGTCCGCACACCCGAAGACGAGCGTCACCGTCTGGCTGGCCAGGTTGCTCGGGGTCACCACGACCCGGATGATGTCTGGCACCGGCGGGTCGAAACTCTCCATCGTCTTCTGAATGTCGTCGAACCTCCTGGCGGTTGCGGCGGCGGCGCAGACAACGATGGGGGAGCTGGGTGGAGGCCGAGGAGGAGGAGGAGGAGGAGGAGGAGGAGGAGGAGCAGAGAACCTGCGGAAGAAGCACAGGGAATGAGGACGACAAGGATGATAATGAGCAGTTGAAGGATAAAGCACTAGGTATGCTGAGGGGTGACGGAAGAAGAGGGAAGCAGGAAGGAAGCAAGAGGAAAGAAAAATGATGGACACTATAAATCAGCAAGACAAACATGAATGGTCTGGTTGCGTAAAGACCAGGGACAAATAGCATGCGTTACGACCACAGGGCTGATCCAGAAGATGACTGGAGGTGCCGTTCGCATCGTGCTCACACGAACGAGTGAACGCCGAGAAAAATTGGAGCCGAGAAAAACGAAGCCAGGACCAATCCGACCACTCGGATAAACGAAACGCGGCTGGCATCGCCACACAAGTCCCCTTGCGAGGCCATCAGGCCCAGCTGGGCAGAACACGGCAACCCTGGGCCCTGCGAGCTCTGATGGCAGCAACGCTGTTTCCAGTTTACGAGCGGGGAGAGCAGCCGATGGCACCGTTCACGAGCAGATCTTCCCGCAGGGGTATACGCAACGCGAGACCCGGTGCATGAAAGCGGTAAGCCATCTCGAGGCTTTGCCAAGACCCACCACATATCCCGACGAGAAGGAGAACACGCACGGAAACGCTGATACAGTGGAGGCCAGTCCACAAGGAAACCTTCCGCAGGAAACCCAGTCCTGAGACCCCAGGACGTCCATGGATTTTTTTGTGTGGGACCGTCACGTCTTCGATTGCAAACCCTTCGAAAACCAAGTAACCCAGGGCACCCTGGAGGCAAGCAAGGTGTTTCTTGGCATGGGCCCCCACTATACGTCTTTCCTCTGGGCACACGCAAGAGTGACCCCAGATAGAAGAGACCTCTGGTGAACGTATTTAGGGGGCCGCGGGGGGCGGGGAGGAAATCCAAGCGCGCAAGCCAATGCTGAAGAGGACCCCTTGGGCCCGCAACAAAATGTCAGTTTGCCGAAGGGCCTCCTCTTACGCGTGGCCGACTTTCTTGCGACAGGCAAAGGGGTATGATTCGGCCAGCATTGAATGTGTGGGCAGCACTGGATGTAGGAGCAGCAATCGGCCATCATTGGAACGTAGAGGAGCAGCTTATGTGAGCCCGTCTCCATTGCGCGTTACGAAGCCTACGGCAGCAACCCCCACGGAAGGGCGCGCGGGCCAATCCCTTGTCCTTGGCCGCCCGGGTCATCGGTGCTGTCAGAAAAGAGACGCCGAGTATCTCGCCAATAACAACGATCCGCACACAGGCAGAAAGCAGCTGGCCGAAGCATATCATGTGCTCCAACCCGCCGAGCGGCGGCATCCCGTGGCGCCGACGCGCGCAGCTACGAACCCACCCTGCAGGCGATGGATCTCGCGCGCCCAGAAAGCCTCCCAATTACTGACAGCTCGCGCCCGGGAGACCATCCCGCGCACAACAGGCTCGCGATAAAAGATACGGAACGGCCACGGGGGCAGGCTGCCCCCCCGAAGGCCAAGAGAGACGGTACCCGATGATCGTCTCACAGGCACGTCAAGCAAAGCCGAAACAACGGTTCAGAAAAAATCATTCAAGAAATCTGGGCCCACTTCCCGGAAATGCCGCCCGAATGCTGCGGTCAACGCTGGCCGGGCGACCGTGCTCAGGAAACTGGGCCAGCTTTCCAGCAAGTTGGTAAACAAGCGCTGGCCCAGCTTTTCGGGAGGAAGCTTCGCGACCAGATGCTCGACGGCATGCAACCGGGGGAAGCCTCGTTACGAAAACGCTCACCGATCGTATCGGCCACGAGGGCGAGCCCACCCCTGGCAACCTCGACAAGGTGCCCCCTTGGGGGGCTGCGGGGAGGAAGGCGCTGTCCGTTACCCAGCGTGGAGGTGCCCCCGCCCAGGGCGGCCCGAAGAGTGCGAGGCGGGAATTTATCCATATCCGCCGCCTGGGAACAGACGTCCTGTTGCCCTGGCGGGCGGTGGATATGGATGCCATTGTGTGTTTCTGTCGGTGCCCAGCCGTGGTGTCTTGGGTCGCCGCGCCTGGCCAGAGCGCCTCGTGGAGGGAGAGGCGTTGCGTGGAACTTGCCGAATATATGATGCTCTCCTCCTGCGGCGCCCATTGCGAGAGCGGCCGCGGCGCCGACCGCGATCGTCCGTCTCCGCGTGCTTCCTGCTGGTCCGCTCCTTGTCCCCAGAACCCTCCTGGGTCCTCCGACTAGCCACGAAGCCCGTCTGAGCGCATCGCCTGGGTTCCGACATTCCCCTGGTTCTTCTGGCCCCCTGTCGGCCACCACCGCCGGGGCGACGAGGTGGGAGCCGCTGCAGTCCAAGCGAGCGGGACCGGGCCCGCGGTCGCTCCTGCCTATCGCCGTGGACGTCCTGAATGCGGGCACGATGATCTTTGGGCGGTGAAGCTGGGCCACGCTGGCCATGGCGCTCGTCCTGTTCCAGACTCCGGCGGAGAACAGCTAGGTCGTCTCCAACGGAAGGCCCATCCTGCTTGCCAACAATAACCGCACGGCCCCCACGACCACGATGAGAATGGCCATCGCACTCAAAACTCATCTCGTCGCACATCCATCCTTCCTGACCCGAGTGTACACCACCTCGCGATCCTTCATGCCTTCTTCCTGCTCCTGGTAACCGTCCTTCGCTAGCTCCTTCAACTGGTGGTGGATGGCTGTGGTGAGGTCGTCCCGTGAGCTCGCTGATATCCAGCTGATGTCATTCAATGCGAAAGTATGTGTGCTGCTGTTGCGGCACCGCCATGCGTAGATAGGAATAAACGTATCCTTCTTGTACTTCACCTCGTCGTCGTCGCCGGCCCCATTCATGCACCTAAACAGCCTTGGGTGTTTGTATCGACCACTGTCGAAAGCCCACCAAGCGTAATACTCACCTGAGGCATGCGAAAGGCTGCAACGGTATAGGCGAGGACGCCCATCTGGCCTCAGAACGAGTAGTAAGCCATACCCAGCTTTGGAACCGTCGTCGTGAAAGAGCTCCACCTCCAAAACGCAGCTAATCGTCCAGGGGGTAGATTTGGCGTACTCTAAATCAAACTCAGGCCCAGTCCAAGGTCCGATATTACGGCCGCCGTTGGCCATACCTCCTATTCGCCCCACTCGGAACGAACAGCAATCTCAGGGCACCCCCCTGGGGATACGAGAGACGGAACCCCTAAGGAGGGACATCGCAGGCGTTGCCTGGAGACGCCTATTGCAAGCGCGCGCGCCTGGACGGGGCTGGACGCGCGCGCGGGCAGAGATCGCGCCACTTGGCTTGATCCCAAAAGGCTTCGGCGCGCCACCTACACCCCTCTGGTCCCCCCAAAAGCACATAACCAGCCCCGGGGGCCCGAATGTGTCCACATCCACCGCCTTCCGAGGTCCCCGAAATTTGATCCTCCAGGCGGTGGTCATGTATAAATTCCTGTCTCGGAAGGAGGGCGCAGCAGGGCGAGTCTCCGGCCTTCGTTGTGCCGCGCGAGGCCGAGGCAGCGGCCTCGGCAGGCAGCCAGGGGGGGGACGAGAGGGTAGGACAGCGAGGGGCAGGGCAGAGAATCAGCTCACGCAGCTGGTTGTCCTGGCGCCTCCTGGCGCCGGGAGGCGCCCATGTATCGAGGGATGGGTCCAGCGGCGGGGCGGAAACCAGCTGCGTGCGGCAGACGTCCCTTTCCCTATCCTGCCCTCTCGTCTGGCCCGAGCAGCGAGGAGCACTCCACCTGGTCAAGGGGGCTTGTGGCGGACCAGAGGCGCGAGGCGCCGCTGCCATTCCGCAACGTCATCCTCGAGAGGGCAGGCAGCAACCCAGGCGGAATCAGGGTGCGGAAGGTCTTCCTGGACGGCTCGGCCACCTGCACTAGAGGCCGCCAGCTGGCCAGAGCTGGTTGGGCAGCGGTGTCGACGTGGGCGAACGACTCCGAGCACCGGGCCTGTGGGGGAACGTGCCATGGCCGCTCCCACAGGACAGTGGGGCTGGGGAATTGACGGGCGGCAGCCATCGCCCTCAGGAACTGCCTAGGGCCGATCATCACGTACACCGACTCGGCCATGGTGAACGACTGTTGGGAATATGGGAAACCGTGGTGTACCGATTGGAGGAAGGCGTACCGAGAGTCGTGGCTTGAGTTCTGGCGGCTGGTGGAAGACCACGGCGAGCGGTCGAGGTCAAGGCCATTGCACGGAATAAGACGTCCGCGAGGGGCGCATCTCAGACCGACAGCAAGCGGAGAACGCCGAGGCGGATCTGCATGCGAAGGAGGGAACCCGCATCCACGGCACGTCGCAGGAGAGGCTGGACCGCAACCAGCTGGCGGACAACCTGGCGAATGAGGTGACAGCCTGGATCGGAGAAGCCATGCAGGAGGGAGACGCCCTCCGGAATTCGAAGCACCAGGGCTCGAGGCGATCCGTTGCGCCTGGCCTGGGTGCCGGAGAAGGCCACAAGCCGAGTGTGAGGTGCACGGCGCGGCATGCCCGAGCAGAGCGCGTGACGTCCATGGCACGGCTGTCGTCACGGACGTGGGCGCTAAGTGGAGCTGCTGGAGCTGTGCGAGATCTGGAGTGACAGTCCAGGGCGGACGGGCAGCGACAGGCGGAGGCGGAGGTGCTGCAGGACGTGCTGACGCTGCCGTAGCTATCGCGGCGGCGGCAGTCGGCGGGGTGATCTCGGCCAGGTCAGGCAACCAGCCAAGCGAGGCGGAGGACCAAAACAACGGCAGAGACGGAGCACTGGAGGCGGCGGGACTCGGGGCGCCCGAGGAGGAGGAAGCAGCAGCGGGTGCCGCCGCACGGCCCTTGCCCGGAGGTCGTGGAGGCAGCGGCAGCGGGCGCGCCCGCGGCCGTGGCCGTGGAGGCCAGCCAGGCGGCCAGGCAGATGCAGTTCCCGTCGCATGGGGTGCTGCAGAGGAAGAAGCGTAAAAGCCACTGTACCAAGGCCGCCGTGGTGGAACGCCAACATCCACGCCACATGTTTTCTGGCGGTGGGCCAGAGGGTTCTCTGCTTGATCTGCCGGAACCATGCGGCGTCGGCGAGGGTTATGAACCTCAGGGAGCAGTGCTCACGCGGGGCTGCTGCTCGTCAGGGGGACGCACTTCGACGTCTGCAGAGGGTCCCTCACCCGTCGCAGGCGGGATGGCTGGGCGGGCCAGTGGTTGTGGCGAGGAGGCGGAGGCGCCACAGTCGGTCGAGGGAAACACTGGGAGCAGATGTCTGAAGCTCGTTCCAGCGCGGCGAGCAGCTCCCGCGCGAAACCGTACTGCGGCGGTCGGTCCGCTCGACATCCTGGCCGTGTCGGCCCCGTGCGGCTGGCGGTGGGCGTTCCCTGGGGTCGGGGGGGGTTGGCCGCCTGGCCCGTGGGGCTGTGCGGGGGGCGGGCCCTGTGTCGTGACGCCTGCTGGCCGCAGGCAGCACGGGGTAAGACCAGGGGGGGCCTCCCGTTCACGGCGTGGGGTGGCTGCTCCTCGTCGCCAGCTGCGCTGGGGTCCGTTCGCGCAGCTCCCGTGCTAGTCGCGCGGCTGCCGTCCCTGGTCTGAGGGGCGAGATGTGGGCTAAGCGCTCGCGACGCTCGCGCCACTGGACGGGTATCATCATCATCATCATCATCATCATCATCATCATCATCATCATCATCATCGCAATCATCATCATCATCATCATCATCATCATCATCGTCATCGTCATCGTCATCATCACCATCATCATCATCATCATCATCATCATCATCATCATCAGCATCAGCATCAGCATCAGCATCAGCATCAGCAACATAATCAGCAGCAGCTTCATCATCAGCATCAGCATCATCAGTATCATCAGCAGCATCAGCATCATCAGCAGCAGCATCAGCATCATCCTCATCATCAGCATCATCAACAGCATCAGCATCAGCATCAGCATCATCGGCATCATCATCAGCATCATCATAATCGTCATCAACATCATCAGCAGAATCACCATCATCATCAGAAGCAGGAGCAGCATCACCATCATCACCACCATTGCCATCATAATCAGCATCATCAGTAACAAAATCATCATCGTCACGATAAGCACCATCATCAGCATCATCAGCATCAGCATCAGCACCATCATCATCATCATCATCATCATCATCAGCATCATCATCATCATCATCATCATCATCCTCATCATCATCATAATCAGCATCATCAGCATCATCATCAGAATCAATCAGAATCATCATCATCATCATCAGCAGCATCATCGCCGTCATCGGCATCGTCATCGTCAGCATCGTCATCATCATCATCACCACTACCATCATCTGCCTCACCACCACAACCATCTCCATCGTCTTCATTATCAGGGGCATCATCCTCATCCTCAACATCATCATCATCATCATCGTCATCATCACCTTCATCACCATCATTACCGTCACAATCATCATCATCATCAGAATCCTCATCATCACCATCAACAACCTCATCATCATGAGAATCAGCATCATCATCACCATCAGCAGCATTAGCATCATCATGATCAGCATCAGCATCGTCATCGCCATCGTTATCATCGTTATCATCATCACCACCATCATATTCATCACCACCATCATCGTCATCATCATCATCCTCGTCATCTGGATCACCATCCTCGTCCTCATTCTTATCCCCAGCATCAGCATCAAAATCGTCAGCATACTCAGCATCATCATCGTCATCATCAGCATCAGCAGCATCATCATCTTCATCCGCATCATCATCATCGTCGTCCTCCTTATCCTCATTACCATCGTCATCGTGATCAGCAACAACATCAACACCAGCATCAACAACAGCAGCATCAGCATCAGCATCAGCAAAAGCATCAGCATCAGCATCATCATCAGCAGCAGCAGCAGCAACAGCACCACCGTCACCATCATCACTCACCCTCATTTATCTCATTATCCTCATAACTATCAGCATCAACGTCATCACCACCACCACCACCGCAATCATCATCAGCGTCATCATCATCATCATCATCATCATCATCATCATCATCATCATCACCATCGTCGTCGTCAGCAGCATCAGCATTAGCATCAGTATCATCATCAGCAGCAGCATCATCAGCAGCATCATCCACAGCCCAATGTGGCTCAAGATGGTCAACGGCCAGCGGCCGCGAGTCGCTCTGGGGCCCGTCGAGCACGAGGCGTTGCTCTTGAGCCAGAGCCAGACGGGCCGAGGCGGTCAGGGGCAGCTGACCAAGAATGGCAACGCAGGCCGCAGCCAAAGTTGGGACTGCCCGAAATGTGGTGCCGGGGAAGAAACGGGGCATCCGGAGTACAAGCATCGTGCTACCACAAAGGAACGCACAATGATGGACAGAGGAGCTGTTCTGGCCACGGCGGGCCTAGGCCACAAATAGGTTCCATTGCATAAAAACTAAGGAACGGCCCTAAAATCCGAGCCCCCTTCAGAGCCCAAAGCGGCCCTCTTTTCAGCGTATTGGCTGTACCTGCAGGGAGTGTGGGAGGTCATGGTGCTGCGAGGTATCGTCTCATGCGTCGGGCAGCTCATTGCGCAGCGGAGTCTCAGCCCTGGGCGCAGAGAAGCTCCATGAACTCAGTCGGCTACGGAGGAGAATCAAGCGCTTGGAGGAGGGCAAGGGCATCTCCAAGGGCGACACCCATAACAAGGACGATGGAGGTCAGCAGCATAAGCAAAAGCAAGTTCGACAGCTCGGCAACCTGCGAGCGGGGATCAAGAAACTGGAGGGCGTGTCGGGCGCGGAGGTAACATTGGAGTGCAAACGGGGGGGAAGCCAAGCTGTTGGCAGCGCAGATCGACCAGGAGTGGCCATGTGTCGCATCGGCTAGTCGAGTTGGATGGGGGACAGCGCACACAATCCACCACGTCCCAGGCCCTCACGTTGCAGATTGACAACATGAGCAATGATCAAAAACGGGTCTCACGCGAGATAACATAGCGACCTTGGGCGGTGGCTTACGCGGGCCGCCAGCGCGGCACGCTACGCTGGAAGCGAGGGCGCTTACGCGCGCGCGGCCATACGCTGGCAGCTTACGCGAATACGTCGGCGAAGACGACCCCGTTGTTTGTTGCGCAGCTCAAATGGATCAGGAGATGGTCAA